TCATGGAGCAGGGAGGGAGAGTCAAGTTGAAGAGAAAGAATTGAGAAGTTGGGGGACATAGGTAAGAAAGTATGATCCATTAAAAAAACAATCAATTGAAATGGACCTAGAGCTGAAATGGATGTCACAATTAGCAGAGAGTGTCAAAATGGTTTACAACAATATTCCATATGATCAAAACAATTGAATAGAGACATGGAAGAAAGTAGAGAGAATTAAATGCTGTGGTGGTGGGCACAGTGTGGTAACATACAACTGAAGAATTGTGAACCTATATCAGGAAACCAAATACATTTTAAACAAATATTACCGCAATAAATTTTTTTTAAAAGACTCTTCATTGAACTTCTACATATAAAACTACAATACCTGAGATGAAAAGGACACTAGACCAGATTAAAAGCATTGCTGAAAAAAGTAAACATGAAGACCACACCAATAGAAACTGTGTAAGATGAAACACAGAGAAAAATAAATCAAAAGAAAAGGAATCCATTAGTGAGCTGTGGGCATCTTCAAGGTCTATGCAGATAGTGGGAACTGCTGAGGGAAAAAACTGAGGAAATGTTTTGGAGAAATGGTGGAAATTTTCTCAACATTGATTAAGAACTATAAAAGTACAGATCAAAGAAATTCAAAGATCCCCAAGCACAGGGATATTTAGGCATCGATACCAAGTCACAATTCAATAAACTGCTGGAAACCAGTGATAAAATACACCTCACAGCAAGAGAAAGGGAAGACATGCTGAGGGGAACTAAGATGAGGATGCCAGAGGATTCTCTCATAAACCATTTAAGCAAGGAGATAGCGTTGGAACACAGCTAAAGACTGAGGAAAGCCACATGGTTCCTTTATAAACGAAGGCCAACTACAACCTGACTGTATTCATAATCATATGACATGTAAGTAGTCCAAACACCCGAAATTGTCAGCATTGGGGTGAGAGATTGCCAAAATGGATGAGAAACAAAATCATTTACATGCCACCGATGACAAATACACTTTAATATAAAGATGCAAACAAATTAAAAGGATAGATAAGGTATACCAGGACAACACAACTCAAAAGAAAGCTTACTGGCAATATTAATGTTAAAAAGAACTACTTGATACAGTACAGAATGTTACTAGGGATAAAGGGGGCCATTTCACAAGGGCAAGGTAGCTATCAAGAAAAATTTTTTTAAAATATATATGTATTTAATAAAATACCCAAAGCAAAAACTGATAGAATGTCAAAGAGAAACACCACAAACTGCAGATTTTAATACCCCTCTCTCACAACTGATTAGACAACAGGCAGAAAATCAGCAAGAATATAATACACCTCAACAACACTACCAAACAACTGGATCTCATAGATTTTATAGAAAACTCCAACTGCCAAGCACAGAACAGGCAATCGTCTCAAATGCACATGGGACTTTAATGAGAGAGAATTTTAATGCTGAGCCATAAATTTAACAGGAAGTATTATGGAACTCTAAATTCAAAGAATTCTATAAAACAATTGGCCTATATTCCTAAGTATTATAATGCGGCAATTGAGAACTTGTTCCTTATTGAACAGACATGAAAGCATGATAGCTACATGTGATTCCTGGCTTGGATCCTCTAACAGAAACTTAAATTGACTATAAAGGAAATTCTGGGTAAACTGGAAGATTAACTATATTAAAATTCTTATTCCAGGGTCTTCACTGGTGGCACAACAGGTTACGGCACAGCACTGCAGGCAAGTTGCAGCTACTTCAGTGCCAGTTCAATCCCCGGGCCCTGGAAGTGACCCACATAGCATGGCAGACCTTTCTTGTCTCACCTGCTGCTCCCCTCAGCAGTGTACTTTGTCTATCTGCCTGTTCTGCTCCCCACTCTGTCTCTGGTGAATCCTCTCACCATACCTGCATCTCTGGCCCTGGTGGTGCAGTGGGTTAAAGCACAGGCACTCAGAAGCTAAAGCCACTTCAGTGTGAGTTCGATCCCCAGCTTCGAGGTGATCCACATGGCACAGCAGACCTCTCCTGACCTGTCTGCTGCTCCCCTCAGCAGTGTACTTTATTAGTCAGCCTGTTCTGCTCCCCACTCCGTCTCTGGTGAATCCTCTCACCACTCCTGCACCTCTGGCCTGTACCTCAGCTCTGTATGCATAAATAAATAAATCTTTAAAAAATAAGTAAATATGGCCCTCCCTGGTGGCGCAGCGGGTTAAAGCACTGCACTGAGAAGCTAAAGCCATTTCCTCATGAGTTCGATTCCCGCCTGCCCCGGAGGTGACCACATGGCGTGGCAGACCTCTCCTGACCCGCCCGCTGCTCCCCTCAGCAGTGTACTTCGTCGATCTGCCTGTTCTGCTCCCCGCTCTGTCTCTGGTGAATTCTCTCACCCTCCGCATCTCTGGCCCAGTTCTGTACAAATAAATAAATCTTTAAAAAAAAAAAAAAATAAGTAAATAAAATAAAATCCTATTCCAATGTTACATTTCCTTAATTCAAAAAATGTGTCATATGTACATAAGAAAATATTCTTGATGTTTAGAAGTACAACCTGAGCCACAACAGGGTAAAGGGACATGACACATAACACCCACTCTCAAGTGGTTCAGAAAAACATATGTATATACTGAGAGAGGTAATGTGGGAAAATGTAAAAAGCTAGAGTATCTGAGAAAAGTTTACATGGGGGTTCTTTGTATAATACTTACAAACTCTACTGTAAATTTGGTATTTTCTCAAAATACAACTGAACAAAATAATATCTTGCTATTAAATATACTGGAGGTGGCCCTCCCTGGTGGTGCAGCGGGTTAAAACACTGCACTGAGAAGCTAAAGCCACTTCCACATGAGTTCGATTCCCGCCTGCCCCGGAGGTGGCCACATGGCATGGCAGAACTCTCCTGATCCACCTGCTGCTTCCCCTAGCAGTGTACTTAATAGATCTGCCTGTTCTGCTCCCCACTCTGTCTCTGGTGAAGCCTCTCGCTGCCCTTGAGCCTCTGGCCTGTACCCCAGTTCTGTATGTACAAATAATAAATAAATCTTAAAAAAAAAAAATATATATATATATATACTGGAGGAGGGGAGGTTTTGAAATGTCCCAAAAACCAATTTGAGGAGATTCTTTCTTGAACTAAATAAAGATGAACCACTTACATTAAATCAAATATAACAACTCTGATGTCCTGAAATACTTCAAACCCATGTAAACTCAGAGTTCAGAGTGAACAAAACCACCCACCCAGCACTGTCCTGGCAAGTATTTCAGTATTTCCTGTATGCACCTTAGGACCAAAACACAAGGAGATACTTGTCTTTAAGAGATGCTTACTAGCTAGTGAATGGAGTGGTAGAAGCTGCATGTAACAATTTTCTCTCTCCCAATGAACTACAGGTTCATTACAATGAACATCAACCACGTCGACACCACGAAACAAAGACAGGAAGGTAACATGCCTCCAAGAAGACACAGACAAATGCCACGTACAATACAGTCTTGTCAGAACAACTGAATGTTGTTCTGAATCTGAGTAATCTTCCAGATTTCACTGCCAATTTTACAAGGTATCCAGGGAATTTAAAAATAAAAGTTAAAATGGTAGCAATGCGAGCCCTCCTCGTGGTACAGTAGGTTAAAGCACAGCACTAAGAAGCTAAAGCCACTTCATCATGAGTTCAATTCCCAACCCCGGAGGTGACCCACATGGCGTGGCAGACCTCTCCTGACCCACCTCCGTTCCAGCAGTGTACTTTGTCAGTCTTCCTGTTCTGCTCCCCACTCTGTCTCTGGTGAAGCCTCTCACCACACCACACCTGCACCTCTGGCCTGCACCCCAGTTCTGTATGCATAAGTAAGTAAATCTTAAAAAAAAAAAAAAAAAAAAAAAAAGATGGCAATGCAACCAACCCAATCCAGACAGGTAAACTAAGGAAATCTAATTTCTTAAAAAAGAAAAATTGCAAAAAATGACAGAAAAAACATACAGGGGAATTTACTATTTAAAAGACTTAATCAACTGCAATGTATGAAAGTTACTTGTATCCTTATTGAAGAACAAATCAAAAATTGTTCCAAAAACTGTGACATGTGAATACCAGATAAGTATACAGCGAAAGAATGGTATTATGGATTATCCCCACCTCCTTTTTTTAGTCTCCTTATCACATAAAGACATGTAAAGAAATATTTACAGATGAATTGTTTAAAAGGTTAGAAGAAGATGAGACCCTGAGAAGATTTTATCAGTTTGGGAGCAACAGATGTCAAAGGAAGATGAAAGTGAGCAAAAACTGAAAATGCCCTCTGATTTGACTATAACTTGATCATTGCTAATCTTCACCCAAAGGCTGAGAAAGTGGTAAGGATACACCAAGACACTGAGAAATGAAATGGGAATGAGAAGTGAGAAAAACTTTAGAGAATTCCTTTGTGTATCCTTTTCTGTGCAACCCAAATCAACAGACTCACAAAAATATCTGAAGGATAAAAGGCCCAATTCCCTATGCGTTAGGTTTCATATCCTTGGATAAACAATAAAAATGGAAATGCATCTACTTGGATGACAAATTTTTCTTATCTAAAAAGATTAAACACACCCAGATCTCCTTGAGCAGAACTCTGCTCACATCAGCAACAAGTACAGACAACACTGCAGTTATCTGAGGATGCTATAAGGAAAGCTATCTACAGTTATGTGAACTTTAATGAAGAGATGTTTCCAAGTTCAAGAAAATCTTGAAAAACCCACAAGTACAAAAAGGTTTCTCCATATAGTCAGCACATATCATTTAATGGGTGGGATTCTTTCTTTTCCTATGACTGTCAATAAGTCCATTTCAATAACTCTAAACACATGGGGGAACTTGACAAAGATCTCAATGCTGATCTGCCACTCTTAACTATATTTTACATGATGTCTTTTATCAACTTCTGTGTTCCATTTTAAAGTAAGGCCTAAAATGCCTTACAAGACAATGTGAGGGACATTTAATACAAACTCACCTGGGATTCATTCATTTTCTGCTGCTCTTGAAAATGTCTACAAACTGTAAATGGTTGACCTAGAAAAGGAGTAGCAAATAAATGAAATAGTGAGTAATCTGGCCTTCCTGAGAAGGAATCTCCTGCAGAAGAAGCACCAAAGAAAGCACAACAAAATGACACCTGGTGAACAGCGAACAAGGGCAAAAAGTGACATTTCAAACATACACCTGAACCTTTTTAATTCCAACATAATATGATGAAATTAAATGTGTCACTCTCACTGGCAAATATAAACAATGACTTTTTTATTACAAATAAAAGGCACAAAAATTAAAAACTCCCAACATACAGCTCAAGTATTTTCCCAATGTCTCTTTAAATTGCTTAAGATCAAAGAAATACATGGATCTCAGAAAAATGGGATAAATGTGTATGAAACATACTTTTTTATTTTAATTATCTAAAATTGGTTTCCACTATCCATAAGAAAACAGCGGTGGGGTGGTGGCAAGACACTGGTCTGTGAGTTCCCTTGTTAGATATGTTAGATATCCCACCTGCATGGGATGACTCTGGACAAGTCACCTCCACTCTCAGACCCACAAGGCAGCAAGCAATAGCTTTTGCAGACACTACACTGTGAGTACACAGGGCAGAACACTTGGATCAGACAAGGGAGCTGATGAAGGCACGTTTACAATCTGCACAGGCCAAGAGGAGGAAGGGGTGTCAGGTGTGGAGTGGAGGAGTGAACAGAACACCCGAAGCACAGACGGGTGACCCACCTGTGCCGCCCAGAAACCTTGAATTCACAAGTCCCAAAGGAGGGCAGTCGGCCTCTGCCGTGCAACCCAGCCCCTCGATCTCCAAGAGACCCTCTCTGTGCACACTCCCGTGTCCTCAGCGTGGGACGGATCCTCCAGGTCCTGCACACTGCGGGCGAGAAGACCCACCCCTGCCTCCCGACCACAATCCAAGACCTACCCTTCTTCCGGAACTCGCTGTCTCCGCCCCAAGGCTCCGAGGGCTGCGAGAAGGGGGCTGCTCCTCCAGCGCGCTTCTGCCCCGGAGCTGCCCCCCCTCAATCCCCAAGGATCCGGCTCTGAGCCTCTGCGACAAACTCTCCAAGGAGCACAAATCGGTCTCTCGGAGCCACACCGCGCCGCGCGCCTTGCTCGGGCTCCGGTGGACGCCGACAGCCGGCCGGGCCCCGCCGTCCCTGCTCCGCTGGCCCAGCCGCAGGCTCCGGGGCTCACTCTCGGAGATCCCCGCTCGAGCCTCCGTCCGGCCCAAGCGAGTCCTTGCCCTAACAGGCCCGCACCTCTGGGTTTCGGCCGGGTCCGCCGGCGTACAGTCCTGCCGACACCGGGTCCCTCAGCCGTCGGAAGGCAGCGAGCGAAGGAAATAAAGCAAACGGTGACCTAGGCATGGACAGGAAGTGGAGACGCGCGGCGGCTCTGAGCGTGCGCGAACACGCACACGGGTCGCGGTGCACATGCGCAGGACGACACCGGAAGACATCCCTGTACCAAAACCTGAGAAGTACCAGACTCTTATTTCCCAAAAGTCTAGTAGGCGCTGTCAAGTTAGGGAAAATCTAAGAAGTCTGCTCCTCCTTGCGGTTAAGAGACTGACTATGAAATTGGCAGACCCCGCCTCCTCCGGGTCTCAGGCTCCTTAATGTAAGGGAACTTCATGGGGAGTCTTGCCTAAAGGCATCCTGGCACCGTACTAGTTAGTTGCCTTACTTTGTGAACTTAAGTCTTAGCATGTGTCTAGCACAACCATGATAAATAAGGGAAAGGTGTCTCATGTTCGTTTATGGTCGTGAGACTTTTTAAAAGATTTATTTATTCATACACAACTAGGGTACTTGTCAGAGGTGCAGGGGCGGTGAGAGACTTTACCAGAGACAGAGTGGGGAGCAGAACAGGCTGATCGATGAAGTACACTACTGGGGAGCTCCGGGCGGTTCAGGTTTGCCGCACCATGTGTATCACCTCCAGGGCTGGGAGTCAAACTCACATTGAAGCGACTGCGGCCAGCTTGCAGTGCTGTTCCCAACCCGTTGGGCCACCAGGGAGGGCCTAAGTAAAATATAAGTAAATAGAACTCAGTGATTACATAAATAAGGCATTAATTTCAGGCACCTGTCCTCCAGGTTATTTGCTTATAGTTCTTTCTTATGTTTGAGTCTGAGTTAGCCAATGAAGTAGCCATGCCTTTTCTGTGTTTAGTGGAAACTCATTGACTACCCCCAGCATGCATCTCCACCATCGGAAAATTCAGTTTTGCCTTCGTTTCCCCACTTACATACCTATTTCAGCATTCCTGATCTGCGATGTCTTTTTCTCAGATTCTCCTTTGAATAAGCGTTGTCAGCTTCCTCTTGAATCAAATAAAAACATTTAATATCTTTTTTATATCTGTAACAGTGATGATCTCACCCCATATTTAAGATCCCCTAACAGAGTCAGGAAAACTTCAAGAGTAATGCACCTGTTTACTACGATAATATGGTATACAGCAAACAGATCTCTCAAACACATTCGGCTTATGTGACAGCAAGAGCAGTCCACTCCCAACAGTGCCTTGAGCTTGGACTTTGGTGGTCAAAGCTCAAATAAGTGTCCTGGGGGTGGGAGGAAGGGAATGTAAAGGAGGTAGGAGTGGGTGGGGATAGTAGTGCACCACGAGGACACAGAGACCTGGAATTTGGGACCATCTTAGTATGTTCTGATGCTCCCATATGCCAAAATGCTTTCTTCCAATGATTTAGTATTCATGGTATCAACTCTCTTTTCCACTCATTTCTTTACAGTTATTCCTAATTCATCTGCCCTCTAGATTTTACTTCTATCACCTATTGGAATTGGAGGTTATGTAAAGGACTCCCATTAAGTTTAAAATCGTGACCACTGTGTATTTTTCCCTTGGGCCTGTGTGTTTGTTTGCCACAGACCATTCCCAGGAATGTGTGTCTTGCTGAATTCCAAAGTGTTATCTAGGTACCCAAGGGCTTTATATTCCTTCTACCCTGCCATTTTCCCCCCTCAATACCTACTCTCCTTGTCTCCTGCTTTAAGATCTGACATGGGACCTTCCTCATCTCATATTTTTTTTTAAAGATTTATTTATTTATGCATACAGAACTGAGGTACAGGCCAGAGGTGCATTTGCTGTGAGAGGGTTCCCCAAAGACAGATTGGGGAGCAGAACAGGCAGATTGATGAAGTACACTGCTGAGGGGAGCAGTGGATGGGTCAGGAGAGGTCTTCTGCACCATGTGGGTCACCTCCGGGGCCGGGGATGGAACTTGTACTGAGGCAGCTGCAGCGAGCTTGCAGACAGCTGGCCAAGTCATAGGGTGATAACTGACAGCAGAAGCCTGGGTTTCCTGATGTGTCCCCATGTACAGCCAGTCTGGAAAGTCCTCCCAGCGTGACCTTTTTTCATTCTTCCCAGAGTCAGAAACCTTGGAGCAAGTACACACCTGGAAGCCTTAATTCCAGGGTCCAGTTTTCCCCTTCCTTACCTAGATCTCTTGCCCCATCTTGATTCCCAACTAAGTTATCTTCTCCAAGTTTCTTCCAGCTTCTGGAGAAGGACCTTCTACACACCTACTTTGGTGAGCTGAGTTGGAGGGACACAGTCAAAAGTTCTGAGTCAGTTTTCTGTTGGAGGTCTTGATCTTCCTGTGGGGGAAGAAGAGGGATGCCCTGTGGCTCAAAGAGGCACACAGTGGGGTCAGATGTTTGACCCACCATGTTGACCCTTAAGAGGATCAGTGCTGGGGTTTAAACTCACACTGAAGGGCTATGGCTTGCTTGCAGTGCTGTGCTTTAACCCGCTGCACCGCCAGGAAGGGCTTTCCTTTCCCTTTTTTAAAGCATTTCCTCAAGAAAAATTGTATATAAGTAACTTCCTCCACCTTTTTCACCTGTACTTAAATCTCTTTAAAAGCTAAATAAGCCTCAGGCCAGCATTATAATCCAGGCCTGTTTTTCCTATGCATCTGACAGCCATCTCTTTGAAATGTAAACTTTAGTGAAGTTAATGTCCCTATATGTCACCAAAGGGAATTTAGGCTAGGCACCTTGCTCTGAGTTGTAATTCTCTGCTTTCATAAAAATGCAAAGGGAAATATTTCTTTTTTCTCTGGATAAAGGCAATTAACTGTCAGATGGCCTCCCGAATTGCCAATGAATTTAGGATGAACTATGAAAGACTATACAGAAAATGATGCTGTCAAGTCCTTTTGTTAGGGGGAAAGGATGTCCTGAAGGAACTGTACAGATAGAGGTTTTGTGGACTCCACCCCCACTCCACTGAAAACTACAAATCCCAGCAACACCAAAGGGAGGACTGACAGGACCCAAGGGCAGAGTTAAGCTGCCATTTTGGGTTTGGGATATAAAAACTGGGTATGCTGGGCTGAAGGACTCTTGGCCTTGTGGCTTGTCACTTGGCTCTTCATCAGTTTCCAGCGTGCTGCTGGGGTTCCAGGTCAGCGGAACTGGTAGGAGACATTGAGACTTCTGATTCTCTTTCCCTGAGTTGTTCTTTTCCCTTATAAATAAACCCATTATTGACCTTTTGTGTGTGTCTGCAGTTGAATCTTAAGCACACAGGTGAGGACCCATAGACAGGCAACCCAATTCACTTTAGGCTGCCCTTTAACTCCTTCACTGAGAAAAAGGATCACTTACCTGTATCTTGAGGTGATGTACGGATGGATGGATCTAATGGTGGTACCCACAAGTCCATAACAAAAGATGGCGCCTCTCTTACCTCTGGTCCCTGTGATGTGCAACACAATCTGGTTCAATGGTTAATTCAGGAATAAAACTTTTAGTTCTACAGTTGTGGAGAGCATTTTCTGGGTTTGCAGATTTTATTTTTTTTTATTTTATTTTTTTTTTTAAAGATTTATTTATTTGTGCATACAGAACTGGGGTACAGGCCAGAGGCTCAGGGGCGGTGAGAGGCTTCACCAGAGACAGAGCGGGGAACAGAACAGGCAGATCAACGAAGTACACTGCTGAGGGGAGCAGCGGGCGGGCCAGGAGAGGTCTGCCGCGCCATGTGGTCTCCTCCGGGGCAGGCGGGAATCGAACTCATGCGGAAGTGGCTTTAGATTCTCAGTGCTGTGCTTTAACCCGCTGCGCCACCAGGGAGGGCCCTGCAGATTTTATTTTTAACCCTCACCACAGCTTTTAAGAAACAATTGGCAAACAATAGTTATATTATTTCACTAAAAAGCAGTAATCATTGTGCCTGTGACCCAGTCTTTGAAAAATGCTATTTTAAACTAATATAAAATATGCCATTTTGAGAAATAAGATCCAGGTATGTGTCGTCTTCTTTTGGTTTGTGTGTACTTTCTGGTTTTTCTAACAATTTTATACATTAGTCGGGCTACCTAGAAAAGCTAAGATTGCTGTTTCCTTCCTTGGGGAAACTATGCCTGTGGATGTTATTTTTCGTGGTGGTTGGGTCATTTATCGTTTCCTGGCATTTTAGGGCAAGGCCTAGTGCTTCAGGGAACATGAAAGACCCTTTCTTTGCCCTGTCCTGGTTTTAGGGGCCCCTCAGTTGGCACCCGAAGGGTTTCCAGACAAAACAATCAGAGATGAAGACAAAAATGAACTCGAGTCCAGGACAAACCCATAGCTCACCGCCACAGGAGCTTTCCTAACGTGCGCCGCGTAGACTTATGGGAAACAGAGTCCAGGCATTTGTCACCCGGGAGGCAGCATTCCGTTGTCCTTCTGCGCATGTGCACCTCTGGCGCGTGCGTGTTCGCGCACGCGCAATGTCTGCGCTGCTCCGCTTCCTGTCCGCGTCCAGGTCACTTTTCGCCCTCGTTCCCAGGCTCTGGCCTCCCACCGGCTAGGATCCCAGGGCCTGCGGGACTGGACGCCGTGCGTTCAGGCTGAAACCACCAGGCGCGGAACTGTGTGGGCAAGGGTTCGCTGGGACCAGGCAGAGGCTCGAGCGGGGTCCCGCGAAGGCGAGCCCTGGAACCCGCTGGGCCAGGGGGGCCGGACGGAGTGGCGGCGGAGCCTGATCAAGGCGCGCGGCCCGGTGAGGTCTCCAGGAGGCGGACTTGGGCCCCAGAGGGACCTTCGCCTATAGTGAGTTTGCCCCGCAGGCCAGAGCCGGTTCCTCGGGCTTAGCGGATTGGGGAGGGGGAGAAGAGACACCCTTGCAGCCGAAACTGGCAGAGCAGCCACTTCCCAGGAGCCTGGGGGCTGAGGCGTCTAGTTCCGGAAGGGTAGGTCTTGAATTTGAGTTGCTGGTGGCAGTTCTGTATCTCCCCGCTGGAATTGTGCAGGGCTTGGCGGGGCGGGACGGGGCGGGGCGCGGTGGGTGGGGAGTAGGAGAACTTGCCCGCGCCAAGGACGAGGGAGTATGGACAGGGAGGGTTTGACCGCTTCCCGCAAATCTGAGGGTGATTGCAAGGCAGAGGCTGACTGCTTCAGAATGCCCCCACTTTAGGATTTGTGAATTAAAGGGTTCTTAGTGGCTTAGGGATCACCAGCATCCACTTCGGACATTGTGTCCACTTCCTCCACACCGGACACCCCTTCTTCCTCCTCTTGGCTTTTCCAGATTGTCAACGGGTCTCCATCAGCACCTTGACTGATCTCAATGTTCAGCCCTTGCTGGCTCACACAGTGTAGTGTAGGATAAGTCTGCAAAGGTTGTCTCCTGCTATCTGGGTTGAAATTGGTACTGAGAGGGGAAAGGACTCGGCCAGTGTCACCAGGTGTGGACGTGGGATTGCTAACAAGGACTCAGACTCCCTGGTCAGCGTTCTCTTCTTGTATTACAGTTACAATAGGTTTCTTAATTACAGGTACTCTAGAGGAGCACACTTAAGTTGGTACCAATAATTGAAGAGTGAGCCATGCCTAAGTATATCTTACTCAGAGAGCATCCTGTGTATTTTCTGATCTTAAGTAGTTAAAAGAATTAGCAAGAGATGAGTTTCTCTTTTTTTATCTTAAAATTTAAAGATGCCAGATTATTTCAGAAGGATTGATCTTTCACTGACATAATGTATCCACTCAGGCAATACACAGTCATATGGGAATTAGAAATTCACAGGTGGATGCTTCCTCCTTACTCCACTTAGTTTTGACAGTTTAAAGGGACAGGCTTTCATAAGGTGTCTTTCATGGAACTTTCTGGGTAGATTCTTATTTAGGAGGGTACTTTCTTTACAAGCCATTCCAGCCTCATGCTTGCATTTCCTTCTCCAGGTTCGACTCCACTTTCACAGTCCTTCACATTTTCCCAAGAGCATCAGAAAATGAATAAATCCCTGGTGAGTTTCTCTGCTTTCTTATATAACACACCTGTTGTTCAGCTATTATGTTGGAAAATAGAAATAGATAAAAGATGTGGTCAGACGACAGAGTAGCAGGTTAGTCCAAGCATTTCTGTTTGGGCAAACAGGGATTGCATGATCTTTCAGTACCAAAGCTGCTTGTATCTTTGATGGTCTTCACAAAAAAAGACAAATACCATCTACTACAACATTGTTGTCTCATAGGTAATTGTTTCTGCTCCTCCATCAGGGATGAAATGAGCAACTAGAGGAATTACTTTTGTCTTCCTTTAAAAAAGATTCCCTGAACATTTCTCTCTGCTGGTCTACTTGGGTTGTACAACAGACTGTGCACATTTTATCCTACAGTTTTGGTTCTGGGCCTGCTCCTCCCCTGAGCCTGACCCAGTACAGATTTCATGTGATCTAATGGATTAACCCAGCAGAGAACTCCTGGCCTTGGATCACTCCAGGACTTTCCTATCTGCAGAATCTTCTGTTGGATTCTGTGACAGACCTCTCCTCCTCTTCTCCAACTTTGATTATTCCTTCTGCTTTTTTATGTTTTCTTCTTCCACCCCTGGCTCTTTTATATCTGATCTCTCCTTCCATGCCTTGAACTCCATCTCTCCTCTCATGTGGCCCAGATACCTCTGTCCAGTTACCTACCAGTGTCTCTATGGAGTTTTTCTGAGCACATCTCAAGTTAAATAGAGCCAACCAGTCCAAAAGTAATAGTTTGCAACCCCATCTATACCTTCTGCTCTTTTTCCTACTCCCCCATTCAGCCTGTCACCCTGACCAGAAAAGTGGGATTCATTCTAAACAACTATATTCAGTTGCTAGGTTTGTTCTTACCCCTTCCCCTTCATCATATCCTTCCTACCTTTATAATAGCTGATGTTTTCCTCCTGGACTGTGAGAAACTCCCTTTCTAGACTATAATTTCTTTTCCCAACTCTTTTATGTGAACTTTCCACATTGAGTGTTTTTCCCATATCATGTGGCCTCTATGTGGAAAGCTGGCATGACTAGAAGAATGAGATTCTCATGGCACTGAAATGGGGAAGGCTGTGGGAAAAGCAGATTTGAGTAAAGACCAAAATTTGATTTTCATTGTTTTGAATTTGAACTCTTGAAATTGCAAGTACAGATAGCAGGAAGGTAGATGTATATGGCCGGGGTCAGGACTGAGCCTGGGCTGGATGTTTGCATGTGGGTACTATAAAAGCCAAGAACTGAGACAACACAGGTCAGCTGGGCTCACCCCTGTAAGGGGTGGCTGAGAAGGGAGTGAGCGGGGGCTACAGTAAGGCCGGAGAAAACCTGGAGAGGAAGTTCAGAATCCAAGGGAATGAAGTTTCCAGGAGAGGGTGACCAGTTGTGACTGTGTTGGGTCCAGTAGGGCTGTTGCTATTCTTCAGCTGTTTGTTGTTAGGTTCTCAGTAATGCTTGTGAGGTGGGTCTCTGAGGGAAGCCCCTTCAGTAAAGTCCTCTGGGGTCTTTTATTTCCAACCCTCTGAGGAAGACTTTCCTCCTGTTTTCACTGATGGAGTCAGTGCTTTTAGCTTTCTCAGTCTGTCATGAAAGGAATCACAAATGCATGAGGTGCTTGTAATGAACCTTCCAGAGCAGTGAGTGAGCTGGTACTGTGCATGGTCAAGTTGGCTTTGAGGGGGAATTCATTGCCAGCATTCTGACTTGTGTGAAACATGTGACCCATATCTGAGTTCGGTGATTACAAATCTATCTCAGAATATGACCTGTACTGAGTGGGCTTTTTTTTTTCCTTTTATTTTTTACATCATTCTTCATTTTGTTCATTTTTTCATCTTGGTTGTAACCGTCATGGACTTCCCACCACCAGCTCACCCCTGTGCCATCACCATTGTCCTGTGCACTGATCTTTTAAGACACACATCTTGGGTAGTCCCTTGTCTTTTGAAACCAACCGAAAATCCCTAAATATCTGTACCTCTGATTGATTACAGATTGCTCTCTAGATTTTTGAAACCCATATACTTTAAATTTTAAATATTTGCAAAGCTATATGTGTTTTAAGCTAAAGAAAAAAAGAATGCAAATTTCTCCCTCCTTTATACATAAAAGTAAACTTGAGCAAGTTACTTAAACGCCATCACTAATAGGGAGCACTTACGATAATCCTATTTTCAAATAGCAGTAGTGAATGTATTTTATATGCATTACAAATAAAATAATTTTGTCCTTTTTTTTATAAGGTAAAGTTACAAGCAATTATAAATGTGCCACAAATGGCACATTTTGTGAAGTTACAAGTACAAAACCAAAAGTTAGAATAAGATGTGCATTTATGTATTAAAATTAGGCTGTCTTGCATTTGGTATTGCCTTTTAGTACATAGAAACTTAACTGACATATCCACTTGCTTTTATGGACAAGGCTTCCCTTCATTTAGCAGCCCTTGTGAAGTAACCATTCACTTACTGATTCTTAAATGTGAGCTCTCTCGTAGGCACTGAGATTCCAAGCCAAATGGAATATTCTTTTTTAGGAAGAATCCCTTAGAGTAGTGGAAAAGACATATAGATAAAAGCAAACACATTACATAAAAGCGTAGGATGGAGGTTTAAATGCAGTGATACACTTATTTCTGCATAGGTTTTAATAAAGATTGTGTACCTGGATGGTTTTACCACAAGAAAGATTCAGATTTAAAATGGAGATTTTGTTAATTTACATTTATTATGGTCATTGATGTGATGGCCTTATAATACACTTGCTTCAATTTATAATACACACTTACTTGTATCCTTTTCATGCCTGGAATGTTCCTGAATTGATGATGTCTTTCCCATATTTCTTCCCCTCTTTTCAGTGATTTTAAAGTCTTTTGTCCTGGTTTTACCTATTGTATAATCAGTGTGTTCACAAATACCAAAAGTAGTAGGTTCAGCTTGGCAGACAAACTAAAGAGAGACAAAACTTGTATAAGTGTAACCAGGCTTCCATTTCTAAAAAGTGAACACAGAAAGTACTGGTCAGAACCAGGAGGATGCAATATGGAATTCCTTTGTGAGGGTGGCCAGCTGGGGCTATTGATGCCTGAGTGTGGCTTCCAGGACTGACTGCTGCCGCTTAGAGCTGGGTACAATTAGTAGAGGTGGATGGGACCTCTTGCGCCCAGTGTCCATCAGTAATTGGGCCCTCTGTTTCCCAGGCTCACAGAGGCTGGTCCCTGGACATCGCTGCAGTAAGGGGTCAAGGGACCAGTATTTCAAAAAACCAGCAGGCCCCATCCTGTGGTTATTATTGTTCAACATTTAAAAACAGCAAAAGCCAGAATAGATTTTTCGGTTTATGTTAGGGGTTTGTCAGTATCTCAAATGACCCTTGAAGACAACATGGCTTTTCCCTTCCACAGCACTGCTTCTCCCTGTTCGTTCAACCATCTGAACCTCTCTAATTTTTTTTTTTTTAAAGATTTATTTATTTGTGCATATAGAACTGGGGTGCAGGCCAGAGGCTCAGAGGTGGTGAGAGGCTTCACCAGAGACAGAGTGGGGAACAGAACAGGCAGATCGACGAAGTACACTGCTGAGGGGAGCAGTGGGCGGGTCAGGAGAGGTCTGCCACGCCATGTGGTCACCTCCAGGGCAGGCGGGAATCGAACTCATGTGGAATCGGCTTTAGATTCTCAGTGCTGTGCTTTAACCTGCTGCGACACCAGGGAGGGCCTGAACCTCTCTAATTTTTAACATATCAACACGGTTTTACAACCCTTTCTTGGAAATTGTATAAACCTTGGTTGTTTAAACTTGACTTCTGTTTCCTGGTTACTTTCTGCCCTAATGTGGAAAGAATGCTAAGATACATAGTAAACATAGGGATACGATAAATTAGATTATCACTGAGAAGTATATATTCGTGACCAAAGAACTAAGTTAGTGCTTTCCATAGAGCTGCCCATTTACTACATCATATTATGTGATAGGTGCCATGATAGCTTTGCTTGGAGATAATGATAGTAAAGGAAATGGGGACAGTGACTCAGACTGGGGTCCATATTTCTAGTGGAAGGTTTATTCAGAAGACACTCATTTAAAAATAAGGTCTGGGGAAGTTTCTAGTCTGTTTACTTTCTGCCCCTCTTTGGAAACATTCTCCTCTTCCCCTGGAATGCTAAATGGGAAGAAAAGGGGATTCACAGTTCCCCCAGCTAAGAATTAGGGGTAATTGAAACATGCTATTGACAGTTCACATACCAACCACATTCAGATGTGCTGGGGACTTCCCTTTCAGTAAAGTGCAAGGCCAGCTGTATGTTTCCTGGCTTCCTTGTCACTTTGGCAATTGTGGCAAATGCCAGATTGGCTCCTTCTGTAAGCTGCAGAAGGGCAGGTTTGGACAGAACCAGCAATTGAATTCCAGCCCTGTTGAGCTTGAGGTCTAGAACATATGTGTCTGGTGTTTAGAGGAGTCATCTGGACTGGTGATAAATTAGGGAAATGTTGACCTATAGGTGGTAATTAGAGCCATGAGGCTGGATGGGATCACCATCAAAGCGGTGAGTGCAGAGTAAGGACCAAAAACACTAACCTGCAGTGACTAGGAAGGAGCCGGCAAAGGAGACTGGGAAGGAGCAACTGGCAGCATGTAGTGGAGAGAACCAGGGTTGTAAATGTTCAGAAGCAAAATGAAGGAGCAAAGTGCATCCTGGTTTCCATGAGTGTCCCTCAAGCTGGTGATTCTAGTGTTCCCAGTAGCTAAGACTTATTTCACGTTCACAGGGTACACCCAGTATTTTCTTTTTTGTGGTGTATGCTGAATGAATGCATTTTTTGATATTTATTTTTCCACAATCTGCAATAAAAAAAAGGTATGCAGTGTTTATAATTAACTTTACCAGTTAAAGTTATAACTGGTTATAAGCTCTTATCCCTGTATAATCTCTATATTGCCCAATTCCAATCACGGTGCCATTACAGGGGCCAGTGTCATTCAAGGATGTGGCTGTGGACTTCACGCAGGAGGAATGGCAGCAGCTGGATCCTGAGCAGAGGACAATATATAGGGATGTGATGCTGGAGAACTACAGCCATCTAGTTTCTGTCGGTGAGGACAGCTTGCTTTTTCACCTGCTCAAATATATGGTATTTCTCTTTAGATTTACTGACTTAATCTTTGAATTTGGTGGGACAATTGTGAATAATTTGTTTGGGGCACCAGGCAGAGCATTTTAGTCTTTACCTCCCCCTTGAGAAGTTCCTGATAAAACACAGATGGGAGCATCTGTGATAAAGCTTTTAAAGCAGCACTTTCTTCATATAACACATCTGGAATCCCAGAGCCAGGCTCAAGTTCTCTTTCATTTTTGTTAACAGGGTGTCACCTTATCAAACCAGAAGTTATCATCAAGTTGGAGCAAGGAGAAGAGCCATGGATAGTAGGAGAATTCCTACTCCAGAGTTATCCAGGTGTGTTAGTGGAGGCAATGAGGTAACATGGAAGTGTTTTTCCAGGAAATTAATGGTCCCAAACCTTTAGAAGTGACTAAAGAAAATGCCTTGTATTAGATACTGTCTCCTAAAGACTTTTTCCTTCCCCAGAAAAACTTGCTTGTAGAGCTTCCTATGCATACCTCTATTCAGAACCAAAATCCAATCACTTCTCCTCTTGAACTTTGTTTTTTTTGTGCTCTTTTTGCATTCTGAGTAACTCGTTATCATAGATTCTTTTTGTTTCTAGGCATTCCTTTATAAATGGCTTCAGTTTTTTTCCCTTGTTTTTAATGTGAAATGCCTCACACTTTATATTACCGATTTTACTTTTCCCTTCTTTTTCTTTGAGATCAGATTCTTAACCCCATCTTACCCCTAACCCAGTAAATTCAGTTCCCCTCTCCTGTCTTGCACACTTGTGCTGGTCACTGTCCCTTAGATCTTGCCTTCTTAACTTTGGTGTCACAGTCTTTGGGTCTCTTTCCCAAGTGCTTCTTCATTGTGTCACTTGTTTACTGTTATGTTCCCAGTGCCTTGAATGTCTCATCATAGAAAGTACTCAGTAAGCATGATGTACAGAATGAGTTTGATTTACTTATCTTTCTGCCCCCCTCTAGGAGTATATCTAAAGCATATGCTTCTACCTTTGGAGGTTTCTTTGTTTTCTTAGTTGTTCAGATGCCTTTTCCTATCGCAAAACTTTAGGGATTTTGTTCTGTTTCATGTTGCATTGTTCATCTTGTCTTCTAGTCCATTATATTCTGCAATAGCATACAGCAACTTCTTCATTCTCATCATGTCTGGAAATTACCATGAGCTCATCCAAATTATAATTACTGACTACCTTTCCTACCTCCCTTTACTTCGTAAATTACATGATTTCCCCCTTTGGAGTGACCCCTTTGGCATGTCTGCTTCTAATTAAATATTGCTGATCACTGTATGATTATGTAACATGTTTCAATTTTGTCGCATGTTTTTGGTTTCTGTCATCTCACTGTAAACAAAAAGTATTTCTGTCATTCTTGGATTGTGCAAGATGTGTTCACCTGAAGTTTCCAATCTTACTACTAACCTCACTGGATAAGCCTGTAGTAATTCCCTGTGAATTTCCATTCTTTGTCCTTTACAAATCACAATATTGATCCTGTATTTGTTGTAATGATTAATTTCTCATTTCCCAAAACTCTAAACTCCACACTCCTAAATAAATTTAGTATATTTCTGGGATTACTATCCCTACAGCGTCACATTCGTTAAAGTCTGCTTTACTTACCCAGACTACACATTCTTTAAATCTGAGCTCAAATTTTCAATCCCTCTTTGAAGGTTCCAATTCACTGTTATTCCAATAGCTTTCTTTTTCTACTTTGTGATGCTTTAAAAAAAATTAAGTCTGGTCAAAGAATCTATACTGCTTATCCAGCATATAGTTTTCATTTGAGCTTCTTTCCTCCCCTGATTTGCATTCCTATAAAGAAAAGGGCATGTTCTCCTTCCAAGCCATGGTGTGTATCAATTAGTAATAGCTTATTTCTATATTTATGTAGTAACATGGAAACAAAAATAAACACATACATACCTATATAGAACCATACTTTTGATTATCTTAGGAGCTAGGTGAAAACACTTTCTAATCCATCCATTCAGAAATAATTTATAGGTAATTGTCTTTAAATATGTATGCTTAGGTTACAGCATGTTCTGTAAATGATAAAAAAATACCCATATGATTTAGATTAAGAACAACTCGGGTTTAGAGGAAATAAGCTAGTAGTCTCTAAGAGAGAACAGAGCTGTGTAGAGAAATTTAAAACTTAGCATTTCACATGGAATGTTAATGCAAGACTGACTATCTTTGCACCAAAATGATTCTATGAAAAATATTTTCAGCTTTAAGAGGAAATGGAGCTTATTGAGGTAAGAATGCATATCGGGAACTTGTTGTGCTTTTTAAAGCATGGAATTTCCCCTTGCCTCCCCACAATAGACTTTTGAGTAGATCGAGGTGGGAAGTCAAACAAACACCAAAACACTAAGAGCAGAACTTCAAGGCTGAAAATGAACTGAGGCATTGTTGAGTACCACTGCAGTCTTAGAATAAGTCAGCAAGGGCTTAGACTGTACTTTCTCCCAGGTTCCTCTAAAATAAATCCCTACTTGTATATATGTCATGACATACTATTCAACAGATAAGTTGGTTTTCGGGATCAGGAGTTTTGGAAAACTGTTATTATCCTAGTTTGGAATCATCATGTAAAGGCAGGTGATGAAAAGTATTTTTTATCAGACTTCTTTGCCTCTCCGTAGGCTCCTTATCCCCCCAACATCCAGTATTTTATCTTTTGGTACATATTTTGAATTGGATTCAGGAAAGTTACAGATTTTAGAAAAGGTTGATATGGTTTCATTGAATGTGGATGATAGCAAGTATAGTAGTTGAGTTCATCCAAAAATTGGGTGCATTAAGTAAAAGTTAAAATCACCATTTTAGGAACAGGATGAAGATTCTAATTTTTAACATTTGTAAATGAAATGAAACATTCAGAGTTAAATGAAAGTGGTATGTCAAGGACAAGAGTTGTTAGTAGACTGAAAATGGGGAAAAATGTTCAATTTTTTGAACATGTCTGTTGTGCCAAGTGCTGTTTTAGGTACATGATCTCCATTTTATCAGTGGATGATCCTGTCACAGAGGGCAGTTGGTAAATTGCCCTGGGTCTTCTAGCCAAACTTACACTGTATCATCCAAATAGGAACAAATAGAATTTCATAGACAGAATGAGTTCAGTTTAAATTAGTGTCATCAGACTATATAAGAAATTTAAAACTTTTGGAAGGATGGACTGTTCCTTGATGTATTCTATACTTACAACTGGAAGTATATGTTCCTGGGACTCTACTTCTAAGTGAAACAGAAACAGAGTTAGAACCCTGGACTCTTAACTGTAACCATAAAGAGATTTAGGTGTTAAGTTAGGTGTGTGGAATTTGAAGAAAAAAAGGCAAAATACTTTGGGAGGATTTTGATTAGTCAAATGCTACCATAAAAAACTCAGTATAAGGTGACAGAGCCTTAGACTATACTAAGTCTCTTCTAACATGATATGAAATGACCACACCTCCTGTATTCCTACTGGATACATCTTCTGCCCTTCTTGGTCTAGCAACATTCCTTGTCCCTCCGTCAGTTTATCCCATTTGCCTGGGAGTCCTTTCATATCTGCCTTGTCAGTCTTAATTCCAACATCTTGTATCTTTCCATCATTGCTCTCTGTTTGTATTTTACCTTCTATACCTAGTTTTGAACAAAATCCTATAAAGTAGTAAAGATAAAAGGTACATGTGTTTTTGCCAATATTATTCTTCCCCCTTTCCTCATCCCTGGACAGAGGGTACGTGTGTGTTCTATATCAAAATAATAAGGAAAAAAGTACATTTGGAATTATTTTCATCTGCCCATGAACTTAGTGCCATAATGAAAGTTCTGTGTATAAATCTCATTCCATAATTTATATAAGAAGATTTATAAAATTTGGTTAATTTTGCTTCTTTTTAGAAGTCTGGAAAGTTGATGCTCTGATAGAAAGAGTTCAGGAAAATGAAGACAAACATTCAAGGCAAACTGTCTTTACCAACAATAAAACCCTGACTGAAGAGAGAGGTAATGTTCTCAGTAAAACTTCTAATGTGGAAACCAACTCTGTTCCTTCAAAAAATATATCCTATAAATGTGACTCATGTGAAAGGAGTTTAAAATCTATTTCAGAATTTATTAGTAGTGATGGAAGCTATGCAAGAATGAAGCCTGATGAATGTAGTTCATGTGGGAAATCACTTCATCATATTAAGCTTGAGAAAACTAATTTGGGAGATAAATCCTATGAACTTCATCAAAATGGGGAAGCTTGCACTCTAAATGAAGAAAACATTTATCAGAACATTCATATTTTGGAGAAACCCTTTGAATATCTTAAATGCCAGAAAGCCTTTCAAAAGGATACAGGTTTTGTTACTCATGTGGAGGAGAAACCCTATAAATGGAATGAATCTGAAATAGCCTTTCTCCAGATGTCAAACCTCAGTGTGCACCAGAGGGCTCATATGGAAATGAAGCCCTATGAATGCACTGCATGTGGGAAATCCTTCTGTAAAAAGTCAAAATTTATTATACACCAGAGGACTCATACAGGAGAAAAACCTTATGAATGTAATCAATGTGGGAAATCCTTCTGCCAGAAAGGAACCCTCACTGTGCATCAGAGAACACACACGGGGGAGAAGCCCTATGAATGTAATGAATGTGGAAAAACCTTCTACCAGAAGTTACACCTCATTCAGCATCAGAGAACTCACTCAGGAGAGAAGCCCTATGAATGTAGTTATTGTGGAAAATCCTTTTGCCAGAAAACACATCTCACACAACACCAGAGAACACATTCAGGAGAGAGACCCTATGTTTGTCATGACTGTGGTAAAACCTTCTCCCAGAAGTCAGCACTTAATGACCATCAGAAGATTCACACTGGCGTGAAACTCTATAAATGTAATGAGTGTGGGAAATGCTTCTGTCGTAAGTCTACTCTCACCACACATCAGAGGACACATACAGGAGAGAAACCCTATGAATGTAATGAATGTGGAAAATTTTTCTCTCGGTTATCATATCTCACAGTACACTATAGAACTCATTCAGGAGAGAAGCCCTATGAATGTAATGAATGTGGGAAAACCTTCTACCTGAATTCAGCCCTAATGAGACATCAGAGAGTACACACAGGAGAGAAACCCTATGAATGTAATGAATGTGGAAAATTATTCTCTCAATTATCATACCTCACTATACATCATAGAACTCATTCAGGAGTAAAACCCTATGAATGTAATGAATGTGGAAAAACATTCTACCAGAATTCAGCTCTTTGTAGACATCGGAGAATACATAAAGGAGAGAAACCCTATGAATGTTATATATGTGGAAAATTCTTCTCTCAAATGTCATACCTCACTATCCATCATAGAATTCATTCAGGAGAGAAACCCTATGAATGTAATGAATGTGGAAAGACCTTTTGCCAGAATTCAGCCCTTAATAGACATCAGAGAACACACACAGGAGAGAAAGCCTATGAATGTTATGAGTGTGGAAAGTTCTTCTCTCAGATGTCATATCTCACTATACATCATCGGATTCATTCGGGAGAGAAACCTTTTGAATGTAATGAATGTGGTAAGGCCTTTTCTCGAATGTCATACCTTACTGTACATTATAGAACTCATTCAGGAGAGAAACCCTATGAATGTAATGAATGTGGGAAAAAATTCTATCACAAATCAGCCTTCAATAGCCATCAGAGAATTCATAGGAGAGGAAATATAAATGATGTAGAAAGACTTCTCTGAAATCAGACCTTGTAATTAATAAGAAATGCTCCCTGAAGTCAAACCCCATTGTCCGTAAGATTTTCACAGGTGACTGGACAAATGACTGTGCATTAATCACATGTAATCTAAAAGTTCACAGGGTAGAAGCCACAATTGTAACAGAACTACATGACTCTGGATAGTGGGCTATACAGGAGTAAACATTTACTTCCATTAAGAATATATGTATGTTTCAGCATGGATTCAAACTGCTTTACATATCAGGGAATTCATAATAAGGGGACTCAAGGAATGTGGAAAACAAGATACTCCTTTGGACATTATTAATACTAAAATATTTGATGTGTCAAACTTTTTCTAGGGGGGCGAAAACAAGATACCTATTGTAAATAAACATTCCTTGTTGAAACGGAGCAGGATAACTAATAGAGTAACATTAAATTCAACATTAAATTGATTTATGAGTGGTTTCTGAGATTGTAGGACTTATGTATGGAGGGGATGGGTGGTGTGTTTGTTTTAGGATGCTTTTACAGGACTTGCATATTCATTCTTAGTAGTATTTGCAAAGGTGTCCTTATTAGAATAATTTGTTAGCCATATGGTATGATTATTCATTCTAAGTAGCAACACCATGTTAATATCTTAATATACATTGTCATTGAGTTAATATTTGGTAGGTATAAAATATACTTTGTATTTTCTTACCTGGCATTTATAAATGTATTTGATCATTATTAGTGAACAAAATCTTCCATTAAAAAGCCAGCATTTCTTACAGTATTTTCAGTTATATCTAAATCAATGGGAGGTAGAAATCTTCACATAAAATAGATAGAAAAATCTGCATGGAAGTTTTTGAAATGGTAATGATAAAAGTTTCTAGTTGTGAGAAATAGCTGTAGCACTTACACTTTATACAGTTAAAAGCATACTTAAAATATTTCCACTTTTGTCCTCTTTTTGTTTGCCTGTATAAGTGTACAAAGCACACATAACTTTGTAACAAGAACTGTCTGTTTTTATTTGATATGTTTTTAGGCATTATGCTCTACTCCTTCCTATTCCTGAATGAACTACGAATACATTCGCATCAGTTTATGGCATATGCTCAGTGACCACCTTACTATTTTCTGGCAGTTGGGGTGTCTCCCTCCTCATAGGTTGGGGTAAATCCTGAGTAGTTTCAACCATTAATGAAAATCCCTTTCTCATTGCCAGCAATTTGTTAAGAGTTAATACTGTACCCAATTTTAGACATCTAGACAAATACAGGAGATACTTGATAGGTTATATTCTGGAAAAGATGTCCTCAGATTCAGGCAGTCATACAGAGTGAACTGGAATCTTTGAGCCTTTCCTAATCTGTATGGGATCTACTAGTTATGCTTTTTAACAAAGGATTATAATTTAAATGTGACAGAGCTGAAAAATAGGAAGGGACCTGGATGATGTCATTGCCAATTAACATTAGTCACTCCAGCTCTGGACTGTTTTGTGAATGCTTAAATTTATTTTAACTCAGTTCATTAGAACTCTGTAATAATAACTGAAGATGTAAAGTTATACTTTTATAGAAATGAAACAATTCAGGAGTGGACTCTAGTTAAATCATTTAATTCGTGGTATTTCTATAGAGGTTTTTGTATTGTCAATTTACATGTAAATAAAATTGAACATTAGCTATCAAGTTCTGAAATAAAAATATGTATGTTTCCTTAGATTATTACATCATACACCTAAGAAATTAGCCTTTGAAACCTAACAATGTCAGTTTACCTGCCTTTTTGTTATGCATGACAAATCCTATCTAGGTCAAATTATATTGATGGATCACTGCTATGTTAGATGATAATGTATGATGTAAATATCTACTTTTGTTTGCTTTCCAGTGATTAGCCAGATGCTCTGTATAGTTGAGTAATTTACCACTTTACCACTGAGATGAAATGCTGTATTTTACATGTATTAAAACCACTTGTGGTTCCTGTTTTTGTTACTAAGCACTTTGCTCCCACATTCTCTGAAATGATTGTGAGTATGCTGTGTAACAAAGTCTGGCAGAGTGTATGCTTTTGTGTAGGAAGTATATATTCATAGTATGTATGTTGAAATATTTCTAAAGGTTTCCCATACTAGTCTGTCATTATATTATATATGCATTTTGAAGTAAATTACTTGAAAAACTTGAATGGTTTTAACACATTCTTTTTCTCTTATGGATTGCCTGCATATGAAAAGCTTATAAAGAAAAGTAAAATAAGCACATAGAGCATCTGTTTGTACTAGCAAACAAGGAAGTATTCAAGAACCAATAGGGAGTGACTTTACCAAAAATGGCGAGGACTTTTGTCCTTCCAACACAAACATCTTAATGAGCTGGCAAAAGTTGACATCAACTTGCAGAACTCTAGAATCTAGTCTAAAACTTAGAATACACATGGAGAGATTTGGGGAAGGAAGGCAGCAGCATTGCATAAAAAGAGTTGTAATTTTAAGTGTATACCCCCCCACACACACCCTCTGGCCACATGTATGATAGCCTGTGCCCTGTGTATAGGTAGCTGCTGGGAATGGTAGAGTTGAGAGATTGTTTGTTGGTGTGGGTTTCACCTGTCAGGGCATTATCTGTAAAGTTGTTATAAAGACTTCCATTTGATTCTTCAGTTCAACAGTCTGAGGCCTGGGGTGGCTATTGCCAAAAGCGGTCAAAGAAAAAAGTGTTGGCTGCAGCAAGGAATGACAAGGTGAGAACCCTGGGAAGAAAGCGCATCAAACAGCAGTATGTGGAGTTTCCATATTTGCCAAAGTGAGATACAGGCTCAGAGGTGACCTGAGAAGTCCCAGTATGTGACTGGGATGTTAGTCAGGCTCCCTGTAAGCTGACAGTGAAAGCTAAGGGAGAATTGTGAGTTTAGCTAAGCATTGAAGGCATGACCAGCAGCCAGTATGGAAACAAGGCAGTATATTTTTCTGACCCCTCCTCCCTCTTATCTTTCTTTGTGGCCCTAGTGATTTAACAGATAACTGGCAAAGCACAAAAACATACTTCCTCTCAGTTAGTGGGACAAGCTATTGACCATCCACACATGACAAAAAGAGTAGACCTGCAAAAATAGCTTAGATGATCAGTAAGAAATCAAAGACCCGGCCCTCCCTGGTGGTGCAGCAGGTTAAAGCACAGCACTGAGAATCTAAAAGCCGCTTCTGCATGAGTTCGATTCTCGTATGCCCCGGAGGTGACCACATGGTGTGGCAGACCTCTCCTGCCCACCCGCTGCTCCCCTCAGCAGTGTACTTCGTCGATCTGCCTGTTCTGTTCCCCACTCTGTCTCTGGTGAAGCCTCTCACTGCCCCTGAGCCTCTGGCCTGTACCCCAGTTCTGTGTGCACAAATAAATCTTTAAAAAAAAAAAAAATCAAAGACCCTCAGAACAAAAACCTTAGGACAGGAGGGAGAATCTAATTTCCAGAGTTGCCCCAATGTATCTTAAATATGCAGTTTCAAGCAAAAGTATACAGACAAAATTATGACCTATTCACAGGGACTAAGAATAGGAATCCTCTCCATGAGGAAGTCCAGGTACTGGACATAGAAAAGGACTTTAAATCAGCTGTCTCAAATATACTCAAGGAACTAGAGGAAAACTAGCTGTTTCAAAGAATAGCAATAGAAGTTATAAAAAACCAAATGAGAGGCCCTCCCTGGTGGCGCAGCGGGTTAAAGCACAGCACTTCTGCATGAGTTCGATCCCCGCCTGGCCTGGAGGAGATCCACATGGTGAGGCAGACCTCTCCTGACCTGCCCGCTGCTCCCCTCAGCAGTGTACTACTTCGATCTGCCTGTTCTGCACCCCACTCTGTCTCTGGTGAGTCCTCTCACCTTCCGCATCTCTGGCCTGTACCCCACTTCTGTACAAATAAATAAATCTTAAAAAAAAAAAAACAAAAATGCGAACTTGAGCAGAAAAGTGGGATAGTTTAAAATTTCACTACAAGAGTTCAACAAATTTAAGACAGGAGAAAGAATTAGCAAATTTGAAGGTCAATTGAGATTATCTGATCTGAGGAACAAAGAATTTAACAGAACCTGAGAGACCTATGTACATTGTGTCAACATACTGGGAGTTCCTGAGTGGGACAGATCAATATAAAAGCCTATAGTTTCTTTTCTCTCTAAGTGAAAATTCAAGAGTAATGGTTATAAATCTATTTTAATAGACATGCAGTATATACACTTAGTTTGTACCAATAAAAAAAACACTTGGTTAAAACATACAGTAGGATTTTTGTATGCTATTGAAACTAGCTATTAATTCAAGTGTGGCAGCTCCATTTCCTATATCTAGTCCCACCTATATGTGTGCAGGTCCCTCTTTTTCTACCTCGTTTTCCTCAGGAAGCATTGGAGGAATAGAGCGAGTGGAACTGTGTTGCTTTCCAGGTGAGGTAGCCCAGAAGCTCCACTGTCCTTTGTTTTTTGATGCTGGTTATGGGCAAATTGACCTCAGAGGCCTCATTGTGAGAGAACTGAGTGATCATGGATAGAAAAACTAAGGTCCCTGGAAACTACTCTGAGCAAGAGTGCCAGTTCTGGATTTTGTGATTGAAAGTGAACTTTTACTACATGTGTTGGGTTGCATTTGGGCTGTCTGTCACACAGTGGAGAAGGCATCAAACAAACACATCTAACTTCTATACAGAATTCCTCCCCATTCACCACACCTGAACACTGAAAGCCCTCAGGTAAATGGTGAATAGGAATTTGGCCACCACCACCACCACCACCATCTAGGATGAGTCTGACAAGAAAAGCCAAAAGGAATTGGTGGGGAGTACAGCTGTTTGAGGCCCTAGAAATGGCCCCACGGTAATGATGCTGCTATGGGCATGACACTGTGAAAGGGGAGAAAAGTCACAAACTGAGCCCCACTCTGATCACCAAAAGTGGCCCCAGTCAGCTGGATTATGTGGCCCACTCTCAAGGGCAGTTTTTTGAGACTATTTTTGAGACGTAGTCTCAAAAATACCTCCCAAGAGGTTGGGAGAGGAGCCTGGTAAGTTCATTGTAAATAAAGGTCATTTCTAAGAACTAATGAAGAAAAAGCCAAGAAAATTTTGATAAACAGAATGAAGGACTTGCTCCCTAATATATGGAGTATTATGTAGAGTAAATGAAGATGCCCAGGCTTTTTCACCACTGGCCTCTAAGGCTTTCACCTGTGGCCATGAATGCAGAGGCACTGGGGAGTGGGCGTGGGGCAGAGTGCTCGATGGTGGACACCTGGGGTGCGGTGTGGGTATGCCTAAATGGGCGCACCTGAGTGAGACAGGCTGGCAGGGCAGCAGATGGCGTGTGGCGAGAGCTGCTACAGGAGGATGAGCTGCAACTGCGAGAGAAAGCCCAGAGGAAAGGACATAAAGACACACAGGGGGCCCAGTTGCTGTCTCCCTGCCAGCTTGCTCCCTGCCAGCTATTAAAAACCTGTGAGGAGGAGGCCAAAGGCTCCAAGATTCATTTTTAAGCTGCAGTTAAGGTGAATCTACCTGCTGTCTTTATCACAATTATAAAGTAGTTAAGTAAAACAAAACAAAAACCAGAAAGAATGAGAGTAGTAGGCTGAGTCTGTAGTAAAAGCCAATCTAACAATTTCCACACAGCTCTGGAGCCAAAACACACACACCTGGTCAATGGTCCCCCACAGATACAGACAACTCCAGCAGGGCTCTCCTGGGCCTTTCAAATTCAGTGCCCACCCCTGGACAACTGTGGTGGGCCAAAGGGTGGTGCTCTGATCGTCTGACTACCCTGTGGTGGCAGTTTATTTCTGGAAGGACGAGAGCTAAGTAGATGCAAAAACACTACACAATAATAAAAACTGCAGCTGAACCATGAACAACACAGGTTTGGATTGTGTGGGATCGCTTAACACAGATAATTCCCCACCAGGGGAATTAACAGGACAACAGATGGGTGCTGCTCAGCCTGTCCCAGGGCCTCTCAGGTGGTGCAGGCCATTAAGTCTCAGCACTATGGCTATTAGCAGCCACTGCAGCCCGAATTCAATCCCTGGCCAGGGAGATGACCCAAGTGGCGCAGCAGACCACTCCTGTCTTTCCTGCTGCTCCCCACTCTCTGGTGAATACTCTCACCACTCCAATTCCTTTGACCTACACCCCAGCTCTTGTATGTATAAATAAATAAAATAAATCTTTAAACCAGGGCCAGAAGATGCAGAAAAAGCAGTGCCTAATAACAAACCAACAAAAGACAATATGGTAAGAGGGTCCAATTATTCAAACTATGCTTTTTTTTTTATAACATGAACTGTTCTATAAGGAACTAAAACAAAAGGTGGAAGGATTTTTTTGAGAAACGACAAAGTCAGACAGAAATTAAAACTTATTTCCATAAAGTTAGCCCAACTTTGCCTACCTCTCTTGCCTTCTGTGCTGCCCGCAACAGCAAAGCCAACCAACATCTTCCTTCTCATCTACTCAGTGAAAACAAGGATGAAGGCCTTTATGATGATCCATTTCCACTTAATGAACAGTAAATATAAAACATGTGTTAACCAAGTTAATGTAATCTGTAAGTCAACAAGTTACTTCTTGTTTCATGGCAGGGGAGACAAAAACTATACTGAGATTTTTTGATGTAGCACCCCTCACCCCCAGTTGTTGAAAGGTCAATAATATATCAAATAGAGAACAAAAGATTAAATTGCTAAAAACTAGCAATTCACTAGGAAATCAAAAAATCAGATCCTATATCGAGCCACAGCTTGAAAATGATAAAATACTTCATTTTATTTTTAAAGTTTTTTTTTTATGGTGAGAGAATTTAGGGATAATCTCATGAATCCTCATTTTATTAATTGTTTCATTTAAAGGCTATTTTGTATAAAGAAAAAGAACACTTAAAATATAACAATGTGAGGCCCTGGTGGGCACCGGGTTAAAGCACAGCACTAAGCTAAAGCCACTTTCGCATGAGTTTGATTCCCGCCTGCCCTGGAGGTGACCACATGGCATGGCAGACCTCTCCTGACCCGCCCGCTACTCCCCTCAGCAGTGTAGATATGCCTGTTCTGCTCCCCACTCTCTCTCTGGTGAAGCCTCTCACCGCCCCTGAGTCTCTGGCCTGTACCCCAGCTCTGTATGCACAAATAAATAAATCTTAAAAAAAAAAGAATATATATATATATATAACAATGTTCTAGGTGTCCAGGTGGAAATTTCCTGTGCTTTCTCTCAAACAGGAAATACTATTTCATTATTAGGTAGAAATTTACAAGTAATTTAAACAGTAGTCATTGAATAATTTTCTCAGAGGAAATCACTATTTTCCCCCAATTCTTATAACCTAAAACTTCTGAATTACATGATTGTAAAAATGTATGCCTCTGCAATGTTCAGATACCTTATAGCTCCAAGTAAGAGGAAAATCTCAACTCCCACAGGCTTAATCAATAATAATTCATGACCTTAGGTCTCCCTGAAATGGCAGCTCTACAGCTGCTTAATTCCCCATACCTGGCAACCACTACCACTAACCACAGTGTGGTAACTGTTCTACCTACCACTCCCGCCTCGGATGCTAACCTGGAGTCACAAAATGCAAACAAGATCATATTCTGGATTTCCCTCAACATCCTACTGGCTCAACCCAAAACAATTCCTGGTGAAAAAGGAAAAACAAATCTCACCAAGGATCTCCAACAAGGAAGAACGGAGTCATCTGTCAACTCGATGCCAAGGCATAACCAGGTCAAGTGGGAAGCCCAAGACCCCTAATAACCTTTTGCTAACGAGCTCACCCCTTCCCAGACCCCTCTTCCTTTGAGTGATAACTAAACATCTGTACACATGACAATTATCACAAAAACGTATAATCTAGTATACTATAAAATGTTAAGAGAAAAATGTTTTGTTCCCCTTGTCCTTGAGAACGTTTTATGGTGATCTCTCATTAACTCACTCTATACATTATTACAATTAACTCCTTGTTACACAGTATAAATAAAGACATGCTGAGGGAATAAGCAGGAATACTTGCACTCAACCCTGACTGCCGTGTCTTCCTCACTCCCACTCCCCTCTTCCCTTTTGGAATCTCTGCTCACCGACACCTTCCCACCTTAGGGCCCTGCCTGTCTTACCTCCAGACACCTCGATAGTTGGGGCTGGTCTCCAATAGGGAAGCAAAAGTCAGGCTAGTGTCTGCCACACAATTGGCACCCAGGCACTTTGTGGCTCTACAGTTACCTATCTAAGCAGTCAGAGGAGGAAAAAGGAGGGCACTTTCTGAACACAGCACCATTCTCCTGTATGACGAGCAGTGCTTTTGCCACTATTTCTGCTCACAGTTTTCTGCTGTTGACAGTACTGGGCTCTGCCTAAGCATACATTATGAACAGGTTTTCATTAAATCAAGACAGTGAAACGCTTTTATGAAAAGATATTGTTGAGCTTCTTTATTGAAGAGCAAGTCATAACAATGGGCATGTAGATGTCAACAGACCTAGCAAGAGTAATAAGTGGTGTCATTTTCCAAACCTTAATAAAAAAAATTCAGAGTTTTTTTAAAAGAAAAATCCAATAAACACCCATGTGCTTATCACTGAGTCCAGTTATTTGCTAAATGCACTATATTTGCTTCATCTACTTAGATGTGTTATTTCCTGGAAATAACTTCAAATGTGCAGACATCACAATTCATCACTGTATTCAGCATGCATGTACAGAACCCACTAACTCCTTATCATGATCACCTCACTTTAACACTAATTCCCTGAAATTATCTAATGCCCATGTCATATTCAAATGCCTCCAAATGCCTTTAAAATATCCATGGCTTTTTAAAGCCAGAAGTTTTGGATCTCATCAAGGTTCATGCAGAGCATTTCTTTTAACCACTTTCAATTGAAAGGCAAAGATTTTCTTTCCTTTTGTGGGAAAACCAGGCCAGCAATCTTGTAAGCTACATAACATTCCAGATTTGTTACTCTTTACTGAAGCTGTTCCTCATTTCCTGTAAACTAAAAGACTAAACATTTGGTTAGATTTACATTAAACATTCTGGCAAGGAACCTTCTCAATGCAACATAAGTTCTGCATGTGCATCTCGTGAGGATGTACATAATGTCAACACTCTGATAGTGCATGTGATCACTTGATCATAGCTGGACAGTCATTCCACTGGAAAAGTACATTTGTTCCAGTTTCAATGAATCATCTATCTGTGGGAGGTACTCTGGCATTACACAAAGCCCACATCCATTGCCAATCTTTGCCCAGAAGCACTAGGGGCTGCAAATTACCAATTTCCAAATTCTGTCATTCCTTCTACACTAGTTGACATTATTCTGCAACAGCCTTCCCACACTACAGCTAAGCAACTGTACCTGCTAAAGGAACAGAGCGAAAATTGAATTAATTCCCTCTAGCTACAAAGAATTTGTATAAGATTTGCCTTCAATGGCAAAAATGTTAGCTCTTTTCTCCTTCTAGTATTACCGCAACTCAAATTTTTATTCAAAATGTTATAGACAATCATTCTGTTTCACTGTGAATTATTCAGTAACCTCAGATGTGATCAGTGGGAACCCATTCTCACTAACTTCTGTGATCTTTGACGCATCTGCATTAATCTTTGAGTGCTTCCTTAGTTTTGACACAACAGGTCTCAGACTCACCTTTGACTCTTCAGGACCCACACCTAAAACCAGTTACTTCTCCAAGGAGTCCTGGTTCTTAGTGGATGATGTTGGGGACTAGATTTGTTCATTGCCATGAGGATGCCATTGCTCCTAGGTCTTCTCAATGGACGTAGCTAGGAAGCATATCAATTTCTTTTAATTAATGAGTAATATTTCCACTTCCTGCTTATCATTATAGGGAATTTTACATATGTTTTTATTTTATTATGATCTGAGATCGGGAATTTTAGTTCCTACAAACAGTTTTTCATTTACTTTATCCTATAATATACACAAAATAGATTCAAAGTAATGCTAAAATTATTAATAACAAAATTAACTAGTAGTGTCTACTTAAGTCTTTACAGATCTTTTTGTTTGTTGTAATAAGACATATCTCATTCAGGATGTAAATCACACTAGTGTTCAAACATCCCTTGAATGATTTTCTCTGGTTAAACTACTAATTTGATATAAATTTGGTTTGTTTTCAGTTTCAGAAGTGCTTTACTAAATGTTAAATATGTAACTTACATTTGTTTAAAAGTCAAAATTTCATAAAAAGTTAGTCAAAATAAACTGCTTCTATTTCTAACTCCACTACCATTCACTGCTGCCTTATCAGTTTGTAGATATTAGTGTTAGGTATTAGTTTGTAGTTTATGATCTAGCTTTTTTTTTTGAAAAAATAAGTAGTTATGCAAGTACACATATATATTTTTTCTTATTTCTTCTCAATTCTTACACAAAAGTTAACATGCTATATACCATTTCCTTTACATTGTCTTTCTCAGTATGTCCTGGTACAGTGCTTCAAGTTTGGCAGACATGTCATTTACAATGTATCGAAATACAAAGAGATACTGGCGGCACTTAATGGGAGAAATTTTTCATAATAATTATGCTATAGGTATATTTTTTCTACTGACAACTATTTTGACATCCACTGTGTAAATCAAACATACACAACAGGTGTATGTTGTAACATCCCCAAGCCTTGCTTAAATCAAGTATTCTTCATACATCTGATTCTGTCAACCTACTATTGAAACTGTCAACTATTGAGGCTTTATATTCCAACAATGAGTAACATCAGCATTAGCTACATCTGATGTCGCATTGTCAAATTTTGTATATCGGACTCATTAATTCTGGTATTACATTATTTCTAGAGGAAAAAACATATCCACATATCTCAAATTGATCAGTTTCCCTTAGTATTCCTTTTGTATATAACAAAATTTGACTTCTTCCTTAGAACTTTCATGCATATAACACATTTATATAACTTCCCTTCAATATTAATGTTAAGTAGGTTGCAACTTTGTAAATGCCTTTATGGCATTCTTTATTCTCTTCCCCCATGATTTATCTGAAGCATGTATTCAATAGGTAGATCCACAAGTTCTCTGACAGTAAGGTATGACACAGAAAGTTTTCCATATTCATCTCTTTCATGGAGAGTCAGCCAACCCCCACCACATGTGCACTTTCTGAGGAGTCTTCACATTATTACATTCCTATGGTTTCTTCCATGACAAAATTTAACCTCACACAGGAAGATTTTCCTTTTTTTTTTTTTTAGGGTAGCTTTTTTGTGTGAATGACCAAATGTTTAGTAAGAGTTGACTTCTTACAAAAGGACTTTCCACATTCACTACACTCATAGGGTTTCTCTCCTGTGTGTGTCCGCTGGTGTACTGTGAGGGTTGACTTCATACAGAACGATTTCCCACATCTCTTACATTCATATGGCTTCTCACCTGTGTGTGTTCTCTGATGATTAATGAGGTTTGACTTCACATAAAAAGTCTTCCCACATTCATTACATTCGAAGGGGTTCTTCCCTGTGTGAGTTCTCTGATGTACAGTGAGGTGTGATTTCATACAGAAAGACTTTTCACATTCATTACATTTATAAGGTTTTTCTTCTGTGTGAGTTCTTTGATGTATGGTTAAGGCTGACTTGTAACAGAAAGACTTCCCACATTTATTACATTCATGGGGTTTTTCCCCAGTGTGTGTTCTCTGATGTTCAATAAGATGTGATTTCTGGAAGAAGGTTTTCCTGCACTCCTGACATTCATAAGGTTTCTCCCCTGTGTGTGTTCGTTGATGTTTAGTGAGGTGTGACTTCTGGAAGAAGGTTTTCCCACATTCTTTACATCCATAAGGTTTCTCCCCTGTGTGTATTCTCTGGTGTTGACTAAGAGCAGACTTCATGTAGAAGGATTTCCCACACTCATTACACTTATAGGGCTTCTCCCCCGTGTGAGTTCTCAGGTGTACAGTCAAAGTTGATTTGTGGCGAAAGGTTTTCTGACATTCATTACATTCGTATGGCTTCTCTTCTGAATGTGTTCTCTTATGGTCAGTGAGATTTGACTTCATAGAAAAGGCTTTCCCACATTCATTACACACATGGGGTTTCTTCCCTGTGTGATTTCTCTGATGAATATTAAGAAGTGACTTCACATAGAATGCCTTTTCACATTCATTACATTTAAAGGGTTTCTCTCCAGTGTGAGTTCTCTGATGTATAATTAGAGTTGATTTCATATGGAAGGCTTTCCCACATTCATTGCATCCATAGGGTTTCTCCCCTGTGTGAGTTTTCTGATGTTTAGTGAGGGCTGACTTTTTGTAAAAGGACTTCTCACATTCATTGCATCCATAGGGTTTCTCCCCTGTATGAATTCTTTTATGTACAACAAGCATTGAATTCATAGCGAAGGATTTGCCACACTCATTACATTCATAGGGTTTCAAACCTGTGTGAATTTTCTGATGTTTCGTAAGATTTGATTTCACACAGAAGGTTTTTCCACATTCATTACAGTCATAGGGCTTCTTTCCTGTATGAGATACCTGATGTATAATTAGGGCTGACTTATAGCAGAAGGATTTCTCACATTCAGTACATTTATAGGGTTTGTCTTCTGAATGCTTCCCTTGATGTACATGTAGGGCTGACTTATAGTAAAAGGATTTCCCACATTCATTACATTTATAGGGCTTCTCCCCTGTGTGTGTTCTCTGATGGTCAGTAAATTGTGACTTCTGGAAGAAAGTTTTTTCACATTCATTACATTTGAAAGGTTTCTCTCCTGTATGTGTCTTCTGATGTTTTGTTAAGTTTGATTTCACACAGAAGCATTTCCCACAATCCTTACATTCATATGGTTTCTCCCCTGTGTGAGTTCTCTGATGATGATTGAAATTTGATTTTGCATAAAAGGATTTCCCACACTCATTACACTTATAGGGCTTCTCTCCTGTGTGGATTCTCTGATGAACTTTTAGAGCTGAGCTATGACGGAAAGCTTTCTTGCACTCATTGCATACAAAAGGCCTCTTTTCTAACTGCCTGCTCTGCTGATCAGTAAGGATTGACATCACAGGGGCATTACCACATTTCTTAGATTCGCTGGGTTTATCTCCTGTGTGAGTTCTTGGAGAGTCAAGTTGAGATTTATTATTTTCACATGATTTCTCTATTGCATGGGTAATCTGATGTTGAGTGAGGTGAGACTCCTGCCCAAAAGCTTTCTTGCAATGATTACACTGAAAGATGTTTTCTCCTGTTTGAGTTTTATGAGGATGAATGAGATGTGACTTGTTGAAACTGTCCTCATTTTTATTAGATTCATGGGTTTCCTCCTCTATATTAATTTTCTGATGATGAGTAAGGGCTGAATTCTCATTAACTTCAGAGTGATCCTTCCTTGTGTGAATTTCCTGGGGAATTTCTAGGGTTGACTTGTTACTGATACTTTCTTTATGTTCCTTAGAATCACAAGATTTCTTTTTTGTTTGAGCTCTCTTAGCTGTGATGTCAGCTGACTCATGAAAAAGAGTTTCTTCATGTTCATTATCTTTAAGAGGTGGTCTTGAAGTCTGACTTCTTTGTTGCTCACTAAGGTCCTCATTATTACTCAGGGATTTCCCATCTTGATTACATTCATCAGATTCCTTTTCAGCATAATTATTTTCTTGCCTGTTTGGAAGAAGCAACTTCCTACATGCATTAATTTCATCAGACTTCTTACTGGAATGGTTTTTACCACTAACTAACTCTGAAACATTTTTCAAATTTAATCCACTGCAGTCATCTTCACATGGTGTTTTTCTTGCAGAAATTGGGTTTGTATCCAAATCAAATGTCTTTCTGAAAACCCTATCTGTCTTATTAGTCAATGTTTTTTTGTTGGTGAGAGAAACTCGCCACAAATGTTTATCTTGGTTTTCCTGGCTTCTCTCTCTGATGTCATCAAACGTCCTGACTTCTAGAAATAAAGAAAGTTAAGTGTAATTTTGAAATGTTAACACATTTTCTTTGTAAATATACTTGATTTTATCACTTATTCTCAATTTTCAGTCCCAAGTTCCTTCGATAAAATTCCAAACACATATTTCTTCATGGTTCAGAAGGAAAACAAAAACAGAAAACACCTGCAAAACTAGTAATGAACATACATATAATTACTATTTTTAAGCTATGACCTTAAACTAAAAAAAAAAGCACAACTAAGCACAAAAAAACAACTGAGTTGAGGGAAAAGCATGGCACAGAAACTACAGATAATGGTAAGAATCCAACAAAAGACATGAGTAGAAAGTAGTGTAACCAGAATAATAATGTATGTGGGTGTTCAGAAGAAACATCATGGGAAGTCTTAGATTATGTAAGTGCAGCCTGCTAGATCACCCATAAAATAAGATTTATATTAGTTTTATCCTTAACTTTGAGGTTGAGTGATATGTGACTTCTTGCTGAAATTCACAATAAATTTTTTTAATGTTCATTCCTAATCACAAGTCATAAGTTTCATAAAGATTTTTACTCTTTGGTAAGCTTGCTTTTAAACTTTGGTCCTACTAGAAACACAGATATCATCCATAAAATGTATCACTCTTCTTCCCTTGCCAAACACATTTTTTTTTTTCAGATCATGCCTCTTAACCTCTATTTGCTCAAGTATTTTAAAATATTCACTACCTATACTTTTCATTAATACACTTTTCATCATCTTTGTCCAAATAGTACTTAATAACACTGAAATTCTAAATATTTAACAATTTGCATACCTCCCCCAACTACAACTATGCTGCTATCAGTTTTAATGTTGCTCCAGTTGCCTTTGATATATACGTAGTGCCCCTCCCTTACCATTATACATCAGAATTTGCTGAAGATCCCTATTTAAAAAATATGATTTAATAGGAAATTTTTATTTAAAAAATAGGCCTCATGTCAATCTATATATCTTATGAATCACATCTATAAGAAGATAATATCGCCCGACTTAGGATGTTTCATACTTCAGAATGCTTTCTGAATACACATCTCTATCAGTATTACCACATGAAAACAATCTATTGTATATTACAACATCAAAGTAAGGAAGAGTAAAAAAGACATCTTTCAGGTCGGGGGGACAAAAAGGTAACAGCCAGATACTCTAAGGTGTCACATTATAAGATCAACTTTGAGGTCAGCCACTAAGTGAAATGAGAATTCTAATAAAGAAGAGCTTGTTGTTGGCAAGAGTAATTAAGGAGAAAGCAAGAGGTGAAATTTTTAGCTTAAATAGGAATCACGTGTAAAAAAAGCACAACAAGTATTGACTACATGGCTGACAGTCCTAAAACTTTTATTAAAGCTCTGCAGAGGCAAGAAGAGATGCAGGTTGTGGGAAGATGTATGTATAATATTTAGAGGTTACATCAAATGGAATTTTTCACAAGTTTTTGCGCAACAACAAAAAAAGCATTAATATGGGCTGATTCATTTTAAGAGGTGTTTAAAGTAAGAGAGGGCAACCCTAGGTTTATATAAGGCTATCAACAACACAAGTGGATGCTTTAGGTTTGTAAATGCATACTTACAACTAGGGATAAGTAAGGATTCAGAAAATAAGCTTTGGTTTTGAGTTAGGTCATTGGAAGGTAAGAATAAATGGTACAGAAAATAGTTTCAAAGGAAAACTTTAAATTACTACAGTCATAGAGTTATTACTGACATTTGAGAGGGCAAATACCCCAAACCAAGTTCTTCACTGCACTTCAAAAGTGCTTTTGTTATTTTTGGATTTTGTTCTGCATACAATTAAAAAAAAATTGGTACTGAATAATTCTAAAATCTAAAGTCCTCCATATTTTAATTCTATCAGTTCTACTGAGTCTTATAACTGACTTCTTCACATGAGCTTGCTAATTTTTTTGTCCTCCTATTTTTGGTGTCATTATAATCTGTGTGTATCTGGAAGGCTGAACTGGCCATCCCTTTCTTGAAAATTTGTTTTTCCCTCCTGGAAGTCAAAGAAAGTTAACAGTAACAGCTAGGGTGGATCTAGCCAGATTTGCAGAGCCCTGATTTCATGTGGAAGATGCAGGTTGCACTTTCCCATCAGTCTGGCTCTCATGGTGGTGGAATGAGCATCTGTCCTCTGAACAAGTTCCATTTCATATCTGCTGCTCAATGAACCTGCTTTAAGCTTCAGCTCACTGTTAGGTTTCTAATTTGTTTTGTCTCTTGACTACTGCAGATTTCCCTCACATTTCAGAAAATCCAGAAATGGCTGAAGTTTTTTTTTTTTTATATTTGTCTAGATTCTACTCCTAATCTACAGCAAGGCTCGCCCAACTTCCTGCTGGAAGTAAAAGACCTCCGTTCTCATATGAACCTACCAGCTTTCACCACACCATTCCCTAAAAACTTTTCTTGTTAAAATCACCAATATCAGAAAACTCAACACTTAATTTTCAGTCTTCGTCTTACCCTCTCAGTATCATATGAAACAGCTGTTATCCTTACTTTAACTAAAACAAAAATTATTTAATGGTATATTCAACATGGGTCAAATTTCAGGAGTTACCAAAAAAGACTGGTATTTTCTATTGTCTCCCAGTCATTCAGCTCCTCTCAGAAGACATCAATGACCTTCCTGAGTTCCTTCTGGCTATTTTAGGTTAAGTTTATTTGAGTACTATGTATCTAGATTGGCTTAAGAGAACTGGCATGACATCTTTAACCCCTGAATCTTCCTGTGGAGGAAACATGATACAATTTCAAGTCTTTTAGGCTCTTACAAGTATTTGAAAACTTTAGATAGAGGGCCTCCCTCCTGGTACAGGGATTAAGTTTCAGCACTATCATACTATTGCCCCTGCGGCCTGAGTTTGATCCCCCACCAGGGAGCTGACTCACATGGTGCAGCAGACCTCTCCTGATCTCCCCACTGCTCCCCTCAACAGTGTATTTCAGTAGATCTGTCTGTTGTGCTCCCCACTCTGTCTCTGGTGAACCCTCTCACCCCCTCACACCTCTGGCTTACACCCCAGTTCTTATAAATAAATCTTCTTTTAAAATAGATAAAATAACATGACCTATGTCTAAAATTAAAAAAAAAAAATTTAGATAGGTAACATTGTGCAATTTTTTTTTTAAAGATTCATTCATTTATTCATACAGAACTGGGGTACAGGCCAGAGGCTCAGGGGTGGTGAGAGGCTTCACCAGAGACAGAGTGGGAAACAGAACAGGCAGATTGACGAAGTACACTGCTGAGGGGAGCAGCGGGCGGGTCAGGAGAGGTCTGCCATGCCATGTGGTCACCTCCGGGGCAGGCGGGGATGGAACTCATGCGGAAGCGGCTTTAGATTCTCAGTGCTGTGCTCCAACCCGCTGCGCCACCAGGGAGGGCCACATTGTGCAATTTTTTAATGTTAGTCCTTAGGTTTTTTTTTCAAAATTTGCTACCATTTGAAATAAGGTCAATTCAATTTTCTTACCTTCCAGCCGGTTATTTTCCAACTGGGTTGACTAGATACATATTGTCTGCAAATAAAGATTTACCTTTCCCATTCTAAACTTTCATGCCAATTATTTATTTTATAATTAATTTTATTTTCTAATTCATTCAAATTAATATTAAATAATATAATGATACTAGACATCCTTACTGGGGTGACTGGTAGAGATATGTCTAGAAATTCCTCATTATGTATGAATAGGGTTGAAAGGTATATTCACCTTGTCTTATTTTACTAAGTTTTCACATTAAAAAAAATATTTGTTAAATTCCAATGCCTCTTGGACATCAATGGAGAAAGTCTTTCTTTCTGAATTTCTCTGTTCAACTCATTATTGTTCAAGGTGTTGCTGATTGTGTGTGAAAATATTCTATTTGTGTTTTGGTATGCATAAAACATAAGTAGAGTAGTCAGGTCATAAGTCAACAAACTTTCTATAAAGGGCCAGACAGTAAACATTTTAAGTTTGACAGGCTATATATAGTCTCTAGGTATCTTTTTATTCTTTCTTTCTTTTTTTAAATAACTTCAAAAACTTAGCTTCTACCCTTTTGAACTTAGTGAAAACCTTTTAGCACTCCATTTTAATTTATCTTTTTGATTTTGGGCTATACTTCTTTGTATGTTTATAATGCTGCTTTAGGGATTACAATGTACATATTTAGCCACTCACACTCTCCCCAGTACCAAGAACATGAGTGGCATAGGGTAGGAATATCTGCAGAATAATGAATGTCTGGTTGGAGAGAGTAACAAAAAGAAAATAGTCCTTGAAAATGGAGAAAAAGAAAGCAAGAAAAATAGGTCTAAGATAAGGCAAGCAGAGAATTAATACCAGGTATAAGAACAGTCAGTTTCCCTAAAAGTTGGCAGAAAGGGGAAACATTTAAGGGTGATTCAGGTTATCTGAGCAAGTGGGTTCACTGTCAGTCACTGCTAAAGACTTGAGAGCCCTAAAGAAGTCACTAAGACACAGACCAAAGGGCCCGGTCTCTAAATAAACACATTTGAGACCTGACTTCCAATGGCTTCTTTTTGTCACCTGTTATGACTCACTCACCAGGATCCCTCTGGCCTGTCACTTTTCCCTCTATGGGCCACAGCTCTTCTCCTTGCTCCAATCTGAAGATCAACTTTGGCTTGGCAATGCAATACCCTGTAAGACAGAGGGGAAGACTGACAAGCTGCATGGACATCAAAGCTACGAAGAATGAGGAAAGTACAGTTTCAGAAACCACGTGTATGGTGTCCTTTCATTAAAGAGGTGGGCACAATCACCTTTGACCTAAGATATGTATCCATGGAAACACTCATCTCCACAAAGGACCCATAAATTCTGGTAGCCAAGAACTAAAAAAAAATCACTCAATGAGGCATTACACAGGAAAAACTCACCCACTGAGACCAGGTGGCTATAGTTCTCCAGCATCACATCCCGGTACAGCGTCCGCTCAGTACTGGTCAGTTGTAGCCACTCACTCCGGCTAAAATTCACAGTCACATCCTTGAATGACACAGATCCCTGGCCAGCACATTTCTATTCAAGCCAAAGAGATCAAAACTGGGATAAAGAAATAGCACAGTAGGAAAACCCAAAAATGTATTCATTTATTAATTCAAACAAATTTAAAATTTCCTAGCATGTGTCTGGAAGATGTCCTAGCTTACCAGGAACATTAAGTTAAATTAATCCTTTTTCTGCCTTTAAAGAGCTTATATCCCAGTAAGGAGACAAATTGTATTTATGAACACTTATGGTACTATGCTAGAATCATTTAAAATGAGTGTTAAATAATGGTAGAAAATACAGGTTGTGCTTCACTGAAAATTAGAGCTTCATTAATGTGGTATCACTGCATAAGGACAGCCAGAGAGGCAGGAGAACACATGGCACTTTGCTAGGAGAATAGATGTTAGGGGACATGAGGACATAAAGGGGTGCAGAAGTATGGGGAATGCATTATGGGGTGATTTTGGACTTGTTTCTACAGTTTAGTTATCTCAAAATCCTTCACTACCCTAGCAATAAGGAATATATACATGCCAACCCACACAATAAAACTTATCTCTTTTTTTTTTTCTGGTTAATAGTCAAATGTAGACAAGTTATTGTAGCTGGGAAGAAGGCATTGGAACACCTGTCCCTCTACCAGTGGCAGGTGACTGCTGAAGAGCCAAGGAAGAGATGCAAGCAATCACCTTTATAGCTGTAAGTTTACATTAAAAAGCAAGAAAGAGGCCCTCCCTGGTGGCGCAGCGGGTTAAAGCACTGCACTGAGAAGCTAAAGCCACTTCCGCATGAGTTCGATCCCGCCTGCCCCGGAGGTGACCACATGGTGTGGCAGACCTCTCCTGACCCACCCGCTGCTCCCCTCAGCAGTGTGCTTTGTCGATCTGCCTGTTCTGCTCCCCACTCTGTCTCTGGTGAAGCTTCTCACCGCCCCTGAGCCTCTAGCCTGTACCCCGGTTCTGTATGTACAAATAAATAAATCTTTAAAAAAAAAAAAAGCAAGAAAGAGCTCAAATCAAACATCAAACATTATAACTTGAGGAACTATAAAGAAGAAAAATTCATCCCAAATCTAGCAGAAGGAAATAATTAACATTAGAGGTAAGCAAAACAGAAAAGTAATAGGGAAATAAACCCCCAAACTGACTTTTTCAGAAGATCAACAAAATGCACAAATCTTTATTAATTGGACTAAAAAAGAGAGGGAGACAGAGAGTGAAAAGACTCAAATTGCTAAAATCAGAAATGAAAATGAGGGCATTACTGCTCATTCTCCTGAAATAAAATGACTATGGGAGAAAATTATGAGCAACTATACACCAACAAATTGGATAACCTAGATAAATTGGACAAATTTCCAGAAATACAAACTACCAAGACTAAGTCATAAAGAAAACAGGAAATCTGAACAGACCATTAACTTGTAAGGAGATTGAATCAGAAATCAAAAATCTTACCAATAAAAGCTCCAGATCTGATGAATTTTCAGAATTTCATGCTATAAAACACTTACAGCAGAACAAATAACCAATCCATCTCAAATTTTTCCAAAAAAGTAAAAAGAGGAGGAAATACTTCCAAATTTATTCTATAAAGCCAGCATTAGCCTGATACCCCAGTTACAAGACTTTGCAAGCAAAGGAAACTAAAAACCAATGTCCTTATGCAAAAATCTTCAAAAAAAAAAAAAAAAACCAAGTTCAGCAGCATATTAAAAGGATTATATGTCATGACTAACTGGGATTTGTTACTTGAATGCAAAAACAGTTCAAAATACAAAAATGGCCAACATAATAACCACATGAACAAATGAAGAAAAATGAAAAACATGATCATGCCAATTGATGCAGCAAAACATGACAAATTCAAAACTCATTCATGACAAAAACACTCCAAAACAAGAATATTAGGAAACTACTAAATATAATACAAGCCAAGTAACAAAAGCCTCCAGTAAATACCATATACTCAATGGTTTCCGCTAAGACCAGGAATAACACAGTGATACCCACTTTCACCATTCCTCATCAACACAGTAATGGGTGCACGAGCCCAACCAATTATGAAATGGTTGGTAGATATTCAAAGAAATGAAGGTAGATATTCAAAGTGGATGAATCAAAGTAAAATTGATTTCTTCTCAAATATAATTTTATATATAGAAAATCCTAAAGATAACCCACTGTAAGGATCAACACATTCAGCAGAGTAGTGGCATATAAATTAATTACAAAAATCAATTGCATTTCTATCCATTAACAATTAACAATATGAAAAGGAAACCAAAACAATCTCACAACAGCATCAAAATGAACAATGTAGAAGTTTTAAAAGGAGAGAGACTTGGGCCCTCCCTGGTGGCGCAGCGGGTTAAGGCACAGCACTGAGAGGCTGAGGCCACTTCGGCTTGAGTTCGATCCCCACCTGCCCCGGAGGAGATCCACATGGCGGGGCAGACCTCTCTTGGCCCGCCCGCTGCTCCCCTCAGCAGTGTACTTCATCGATCTGCCTGTTCTGTTCCCC